GACAAGGAAAATATTGGGTTGGCAAATAAGTGTTTTCGGTTTTTCAGGGTGAAATAAAACTCAATGTATTATAGGCATAAAATTTATTTTAATCTACAATATACTGACCATTATTTAATATGACTTTTTCCCGTGTTTCCACTAACTGCATAATGCCATGTTCACAGAATGTCTGGAGTTTATTGTTAAAAAAGTGATCCAAGTGGTTTTTGATATCCTCCTTCTTTTGGAATTTATTTCCATTCATGGAGTTCTGCAGAGACCGGAATAAGTGGTAGTCACTTGAAGCTAGGTCTGGAGAATAGGGAGGGTGGGGCAAAAAGTCCCATCCAAGGCTTAATAATTTATTGCGAGTGACCGATGAGGTGTGAGGCCTAGCGTTGTCTTTGTGGAATACAACACCCTTCCGATCTTTCATAAATCTTCAGGATGTTCTCCAAATTCGATGTTACTATATCCGTTGGAAAGCTGAATTATTGCTCTTCAAAGCGGTATGAATGGTTTTTTGATTTAATACCTATATAAGGAATAAATAAACAAAAATTCCTTATAGGTTTTTATTTTTCATCTCCATTTGTAATTTGTTTACAAAGGTTTTGTTGATGTCATTTTGTGTAGTTTATGTGGCCCTAAATTCTTGCTAAATTTCTTGAGTTTAGCTAAAGTTGTCTTGAAGTTATAACATTTTTTGTAATTTTTGAGAAAAAAAAATCATGTGAGAGACCCAAACATTAAGCCTGGAAACATAGCCGAGCTTGAGGCAAATGGTTTTCTACGCGTGTGTGAGACACATTTAGGGCCATAGCAATCTCTTGCACTGATTGGGTGGAATTTTGATCAATAATAGCCTTAACACTGCTCGTTTCAAATTCATGTGGACGACCAGACCGTTGAGCATCATTGATGTCAAAATTTCCTGAATGAAATTTGGCAAAACAATTTTGAAAAGTACGTTCGGTTAAGGCATCGTCCCGATAAACACTGCAAATTTTTCTATGAGCTTCTGCAGCACGCTTACCTTTTTTAAAATAATACAACAAAATATGGCAAATAGTGAATGATATTTTCTTCCATATCCACAGTGCAACGGCAAACACAATACTAAGCTAGTTTCAACAAGAGTTAACTGATATAGTTGTCGACAAATTACAAACAGGATAAACAATCCACCTTAGGGATTAATTCATCAGATAAGAAGTGTATCATAGTAACATAAAACCGAAAGAACTTATTTGCCAACCCAATAGTGTTACTTATGATGACGGTTTAGAATTAATAAAACATTGTGCCGTTTTTTTTTGGAACCGTAAATCGGTGAAACTTATGTCCAATGGTTTTGAGTAGGTATTTGTATTTGTTTAGTTTTTACCTGATTTTCAAATTTATTTGGAAAAAAGTGAGTATGGTACTTTCAGCTGATTGTTTTAAGTTTCCCTTTTAAATTTGACATGTGGTTCATCATCCCTAAGTTGAATATTAGTCCAAGATAACGTACAGTGTCTGTCTGATACATTTATATCCTAATATGTATATCTATTATTATCAGTAAAAGAGCTTTAAGAAATATTTAACGCCTATAGTACCTCAGTGGATTGGACGATAGGCATTCTAGAGGACACACTAGTGTCGATCGTCCATCATTTATCCTCCAAGTACCCAAGAAAAGCTCACTTGAAATGGGAGCATTTGAATATGAAAAGAAAATGGAAAACAGGCTCGAACATCCATTTGTCAACCCTGACAGGCCTAAATCATGGAATCAATAGTGCCGAATAAAAGAGAATTATATAGCTCCTCTATTAGTAGGGAAGACGAGACTCCAGGAATAATAAATGAACTGCTTTTATCTCAATATTCAGGCGAGGAACGGATTCCTTTATGAGAAAAAATCCTAGATCCACCCAAAAAGTACTGAAAAAAATGGCAGTGTTAAGATAGGGATGGAATCTTCAAAATAATATAATTTTAAAACTATATATACTTAAATAAATTTCTTTAGGTGATGAAAAAAACTCAATATTTTAATTCAGTAGTGAAATAATATTATGTAACCTCATTACTTATTTTAATCAAACAGATAGAAACAATTTATTAAAAATAAAATAGATAAATATATTACGCCAACAGTAGCAAAACATGGACCTAATTGAGATAAATCGAGGTTATTGAAGAGAATAAAAACCATTTGATTATCTTTTTGTTTGTGAAGAATAGTTCCATTTTAAGAAATTTTCATCATCGAAACAGTTTTTGTTAAATTTCCATGTCATATTACAAAAAAAAAAAAAAAAAAATGTTATGATAAACATAATAGTAACAATAAATGTTAAATTACTCTAAACTGGAAACTAGAACCTCACTCATCCGTCATATCCGAAACCTAGATTGCAAGTTTTTTTCTCCATAACTTAGCTTTATATTTTTTCTGATTCACAAAACTGATGCGAAATTATTAGGATGGCGTCAAAAGAAATTCGTTATTTTAATTAAATAAATTAAGAGCATTTAAATACATCTTAACTTTTTTTTTGTTTTCATTATGAGAAAATTTCTATACCCAGCGCTAATTGATACATTCGGGAATCCATTGCGGAGTTCCAAAGCTGGATGGATAAATAAATGGAATTTAACGCGATCATTTATTCATCGATTGAATCACCGATGGCTCAGTGGTTCCATCCACATTTTTCATGTCTTTTGTAATCTACCAGAAGTGACATACTTCCGCTGGAATTCAACAGGCAGTTTCTAAACTCAGTATATATCGGGGCTGAATCCAATCGATTGATGAATTCCGTAGATGGAATTGGTGCTGAGAATAGTAACTTATCCAATAAATGTATATAAATTGTATCTTATACTTCATCAAATCATATTTAATATGAAAAATACATACATAATACGTATTTAATAAGAATTATGCGAAGTTCTTAAAAATGAGGCATATCTAAAGGAAGACGAAGCGAATATAAATTGCTAGTTAGAATTACTTAATTCTTTCTAAATCGTATCCATGACCATGTATACGAATATTATCGTATTGTTTTTAACATAAAATACAACTAACTACATCTCCAAGTGGAGGGCGAAGAAATTACCTATTTATTTATATAATTAATTTGTTGCTCCCTATCATTACTTCGATATGATTAATTGATACACGCTACTTATTATTTAATCAACTGAATAACGGCTTTGAAAATATTAAAAAACATAGTGATGTTTTTCAATTAATTAATTTGTCATATTAAATAAGAATATCTTTGCGAGACAACTCCACTGCAATAAGACAATTATGGAAATGGTATTTTTAAACTAAATCTGGAATTTATATTTAGAAAGTGGAGTAATCTGTTTTCAATTCACTGGAATCATTGATTCTAGGCGATGAAATCATTATAAAGAAAAAAATCAAATCGATCCTAATAAAGTAACTAATTAATTCGTTATAAGATTGGACAGTACATCATACGTTAAATAGAAATTTACTTAAAGATATGCATTGCAAGATTCATTTGAAAAAGTTTTCAGTAGTACTTATTTAGAAAACAGTGCCAGATACTAACTTAAGTAACAGTTAGTAGGTTTTGAATTATATATTATATAGGAAATATAAAATTATCTGAGAGTATTCGTAAGTGGCTATTTATAGATAGTAAATCAAATATCCAAAGGGTATCAATCAAGAATTTGTAATTCTAAATCAAGAATCAATAAATAACATCGATCCTGAAAGCTAAATGTGTAAAAAAAAAAAAAAAAAAAAACAATAGAATTCAGTAAAACTGATCAACAATGAGCAAAGGGAATCCAATTAATTTATATCAGATGACTATTAAAATGTTAAAAACTCCAACTAATGAAGTTAAAATTTCTTTAAATATGGGTCACTACAAGACGGCAAAATGCACGGCAATAGTCAAAACCCAATAAAGCATTAAAAACATAAAATACAAAGGTATTTTGCTACTGCTTCAGATGAAAAGATTCAAGAAAAATCAATCAAACATTGGTTACTTTCGAAAAATTTTCAATTAAAATATTTCATTTAATTATAAGAATTGTTGAATGCAAAATGGGTGTGTCATTTTCAAAATGATTATTAATTACTGAAACGAATATTTTCACTTCATGCTTATAAAAAGATGTATGTGCTTGATAATGAATTATTTTAACAGAAAAAAGTAAATTATTGAAATAAGTTAGTCGAGTGTTCTACATATCATAGTTGATAAATAGCCATGACACAGTCATTTTAAGATTTTCATTGTTGCCGAAGCATCGTGGTTCAGAAGTGGTTAAAATCCTTAAAATGAAATGAAGTGTTCCAATCACATTTTTTGTACTCAATTGTCTCTCCTTAACAATAATTTTAAAATGACTGCGTCCTGTCTATTTATCACCTAAAATAAATAAATACAATTAAAACATACTTAAAATGTATCTAAAAACTTTTATGTTATGCCTTAATTGAAAAAATTCCATTTTTAAAACAAAAATGGAGAAGTTCTAATGATCATTCTGAGCTAACCTATGACTTTGATGGTTGAGTAGGATGTTAATAAACAAGGAAAGACATAAATAATACACACATGTTTAGGTTGAAAAGTTGGCGACAATAAAAATCTTAAAATTACTGCTTCCTGATTATTTATCAACTATGAAAAAGTAAATTGTAATTCCTTTACAAGAAATAGATTTACAAAAATACAAGAAATATGTTTCTATATTATTATAGAACATTCTGTAAAGTATGGAATATGTACCACTCTGCATTAAATGGCTCATTTTTCAATAGTTCGTGTATATATCTTTTACTTCATGGAAATACAAATTAAATAAAAATAGTGCAGGTAAACCAATATCATTTTATTTTGAAGTTTTAGGTAGGATTAACAATTCACTATTTTGAGATTATAAGTTATTTTATTAATGTTTTATAGAACAAAACAGCAATTAACGAACATATGATAATAAATTGTAAAAATAAATTGTCTTGATTAATATTTCTAAAACAGTATTTTTATTTTATAAAACATCTTACATTCTAAAAAGTAATTAATTACAACAAAATATGAAGTAGGTATGATATTTTTATATTGAACAAAACATTATAATACTTAAGTATGAGAAATAACTATTCGAAGAATTAGGAAATATAGGTGACATAAAGCGGTTTGAAGCCGTGGACATCGCTGGAAAAGTTAGAACATCTTCCTTCTGCGAGGTCTGCTATGTCGGACCCCAGAGAACACTGAGTACTCAGAGCTAGGGTGTCCTTGTCTCGGGGCAAGTTGCCAATGGTTATGGGTACCTTGAGCCGTACCCCCTTTGTCGAAGACTTCTGGATCACCATGGTAAACTTGTAGCTGATCTTGAAGTATGGGTCTGCCCCAGAAGGTGGCAGGGGAGGAATGAGGAAACGATCCGATAGCCAGACTTGTCTCTTTCCAGGGAGGATGGCTCCCCGCTCTTTAGAAGCAACAATACACTTGACAATCTTCTTGTCGCGTAGCCGCCACATCTTCTGGATCAGCGCTACTGAGGTACCCTGGATATGGCAAGAGGTACCATTGGTGATGCAAGCGTTGATGATAGCGCTATGGCCACAGAGCAAGGATACACAGGCTACCTCGAAGTCCACAAAGATAGCGCCACAGCAGGAAGGGACCAAGTTCCAACCTTCTTGAGCAGTCACCTTTTGACCAGCCACTTCATCAGTGAGTTGCTTTCTCGCATTGACAGACAAGTACTCAGCAGCTTCAATTCTCTGGACCCTATCGCCTTCTTTATACAACAGAATTGATACCACTCGATATCTGATCCCTCCTATGGTCGAAGCGATCGATGTTGGTGAATCGGTGCGTACAACCATACTGAAAGGCATTTCAGTGTTACCTTCACCGGCACTTCTCAAGTCGAGAGGGCATGTTTCAGTGTAAATCAGCTCTACAGATTCTTGGTCATTCTTAATGCTGTAATATTCAGCATTAAGGTTTATTGCCAGGAGCTGGACTTTATGCTGCTGCTCTGACTGGAACTTCACTAGGCCTGTAATCATCTCGCCTGAGAAAAAAACCTTGGAAGGATTATCCAGCACTACTTGAAGGATTACTGTAGGTTTGGACATCTTGGTTGCTGATGTCCTAAAGTTATAAATTCTGAAAGTTAAAACAAAATAAAACACAAATAAATAAGGTTAAACACAACAGATAAAATTAGAGTAAAAATATAAGGAGTACTAATCATATGTTCAGAATGACACATGGTTCTCTAAGAACTGAGGACATATAGCATTGAATTTAACAGTGTTAATATACATGAAAGGAATTTCTAAGAACGAATTCACGAGTTATAACCGACTATTTAAGAATAGCTAAGAGAAGTATAGTTCGATTTAAGACAACGATAGCCGATTGTATCAAACATGGCTTTAAAGTGATTTCTGATTACCAAATAATAAATAGCCTTTAATATCTAGCATGAAACTTGTGTAGTTTTCAAACCTGTGTCAGTTTGCGGCAGCATTGATATAGTTATGCCGGTTGACTTTCCAACAACAAAAACTCGATCAATCTTAAAGGAAATTCAGCAGCAGTGGGTAAAATGAAAACTATCGCAATTCGTTATTCGCCATTTATGATATGGGGCCATTGAAAATTTATGACAACGTAGCTCGTAAATGACGATATCAGAAGCTTAACAAATCAAGTACATCATCAATAGTGTCAAAAACAAACACTGCAAATTATTAAACATTGATTTATTATTATCAAGTAAATAATTTTAACCAACGATAAAACATTAATTCTAAAAAATTTTATTTAATACGTAAAAACTTCACTGGCTTTAGTATCTGCGACGCGGTAGAGTAGCGCAGGGATCTCCTGGAGTCCTAATTTTCCCTCTATAGTTGGAGAGACAAACCTGCCTCGGAGTTATTTCAATTGGTTTTAAATTGTGTATTTAGGTAGGTACGTGTTTTTTTTTGTTTTGTTTTGTTTTTTAAATTTACTAATCTTTATATATGTTATTTCATTTTATTTATTGCATATAGTTTTTTATTATTACGTAGTTGTTATTTTCTTCTGCTTATTTTATTTTGTACATTAAGTGTGAATGACGTCTTACCTTCTTAAAACCATTGTCCTGGTGCCAACCATTTATTTATTCAATAAATAAATAAAATTTAAAGATACGCAAGATGTATATAAAAACTTTTACGTTTTTGCCATTGTATGTAATCCGGTGTATTTTCATAAGTGACGCTCTCAATCGCATCATATTTTTGAGTTCCATTCAACCAACCGAGAAACGACTGGGATTTTTCTAAAATATTCAGTATGGCAAGGTGAGTCAGAATCAATCACGTAAGATAACTCATAAAGGTGCGTTTCCAAAAATGTTATATATTTTGGTAGAATATTTTACCAAATTGGAAAACACGGCCTGATCGGTTTTAACTTATTGAAAACACTTAAAAATATAATAATCAAGTAAAAATAAGAACTGGCATAATTACAAGATTTTTTTAAACATGTTTATTGAGAGTTATTACATTATCTATCAACTAAGGACATTTAGAATATATATCAGAAAGCATATTCACACCATATACAATTAAAAGTAAAACTCAATATTGTAAGACTACCCAGCAGGTGTGTTTTCGAACAGACGTAAAAACCTAATTTAAGTTGAGTCCATTATACAACATATAAAATGTAATTGAACTTATTGGAAACACATAAAAATGCATTCATCTGAAAGATTTAAATATCTGATTGAATGATGAATAAGAACTGATCTGCGATTCGAATGAATGTTTTGTTTGTTTTTTTGCGTCAGTTTCGGAAACGCACAACCATGGGTCGCCTTATGATGAACTTGTAATTGTTAGTCAGTTCTTATTCAGCACTTACCCAGATATTTAAATCGATTGGTCCGTTTTGTCCCCGTTTCCAATTTGGTAAAAAAATCTACCAAAATATATAACATTTTCACCTCAGTTTTGGAAACGCACCTTACCATGCTGAATATTTTACAAAAAGTCCCAGACATTAACCGGGAAGTTGAATAAAACTCGAATATTTGATGCATTCTAGCGCTGCAATTTTGAGAACGCACTCGATTCGCAAGACAGTTTTTGTCCAGCACATAACTAGGTATTAAAATCTTTAAAAAAATTGTATTTCTAAGAGTTACCAATAAGTTTAAATCGATACTACTGTGTTTCAAACAAACAAACAGTTAAAAGGGACTTAATATTTTAATGTCCAGTCGTTATTGCTTATAAGTTTACTAAATGTAATATAAATTTTGTGACATTTTCAGATCTTTATCTTTCCAGTAGATGAAACTTTCAAAATTTGCCTGTTTGGGCCCAAATTCACCCTCTCTGGACAATAAAACTTGACGACCCAAGTCTAATCGATAGTAATTGCCATATTAGCTTTACCTTCATCCGTTAAATCAATTTGTCATAGTGCGTGGTACAGACCCCTTTCTAACAAATTATTAACATCCACCTAAATCTCCGTAAATAGCTTTCTCTCATTGTAGCCTACAACTTCTTTATTTACGAAAATTCTGGAAGTTGGGGGGTTTTTAATCTGGATATCAGCAAACTTTGTCTAATTAATTAAATGCTAAAAACTCATAAATACCCAATTTTTATATTTATATTTATAATATAATACAAAAATTTATATATTTTTATTTGAAAACAAAGTCGTATTTAAGAATTTTAAAAATACGCAAGAAACGAATCTCAATCATATTTTCATGAACAAAATTTAATTGGTCCAATTCGCGGGAAACGTTTTTGGGGTTTGTAATTTATTATACTTCTGAAATCGTTTAATACAAGCAGCTATATGTTTGTTTTTTTATTGAGAAAAAAATGTATAGATGTATCATTATTTCATGGAACATTACTTACATATAAATCCATTCGGAGCAAAGGTGGAAAACAATAATATAAAAAATGTTAAAATTTTATAAAATAATTTTTCCTTAGCTTCTGGGGCGCATTGGTTAATACCCTTGGGTATGGGTGTAATATTTTTCTATCTAGTAACACCCAAAAACCATTCAAATAAGTTACCCCAGTCGGTTACAAATTAACACAACTTGAGTATCTTTTATTACTTCTTTCTCCGTCATGGAACGAGCAGAATGATAGTACACCAAAAATTAAATTAAAGATATATCATTTCCAAACAGTATTTTTATAAATTTTTTTAGCGGTCAGGGAACTATTATTATTTCTTGGCTTTCTTTTTAGGCCAAGCTTTCATCTTTTCACTCATTTCCTTTTTCCGTTCTTCTGTCTATTTACTTGCTACATTTCATCACTTTTATACTACTAGGACCTTTATCCTATTCAGTGTTCTCATGAATTTATCCTTATATAGGTATACATCTACTTTTATCTCGAGTCTTGCTTAATCAAAATTTCTTCCTTAATCATTCCCATTAATTAGTCAAATATCCATTTGTTTATCCTGTCTTTACTCATTCGCTTCATAAGACTAAAGAACTTATTCTCCTTTTCCTGATTGATTATTTTTATGTTTTATATTTTAAGTAAATGTGTTATAAAAAAAGTTATTTTTTCATGCTATGTAACTTCCACACAATTAACAGGGATCTCTTAAATTGTTTAAAACTGATTTTACTTTCAGAAATTATAATTTGAATAGAAAGCGGAGTTTTCTGTTCTTAGTCCACTATCAGCATATACTAGTCCTTTCAATATTTATTGGAGCCTATGGAAAGTAATCACAAATATTTCAATTGAATCTTTCAGGAAATTTAATCTGCAAGGTTGGTTATGCATTTCGCATTCAGATGCAAAAAACTCCAAAATCCTGCGGGACAAAACCAAAGACTAGCTTTTTTGTTTGTGAAATTAAAAATCGATGTTTCATGTAAAATGTTTTGAATTTTCAAAAATGTTACCTATGGAACAAACAGAAAATTTATTGTTCCTTAACATAGGTAGTAACATATTTTTATTAAAAAAACTGGTGTGTGCAAAACACAACTTTTACTTACTGCTCAACTTTGAAAAGAAATTATTTACCCGCCATATTGGGCTATTATAAAAATGTTTAATTGCATTTTTAACTTAGTTAAGCTTAAAGCTTACAGCTAACAAATCATGAATACCATTAAAATAACAAAAATTCTATTTATTATATCAATGGTTGATTAGGGATTGGACGATCTGTTGATTATGGATTGTACGACTATTAGTTATTAATCTGTTATTTCCCATTGCAAAGTTTACTAAAATGGAATTAGGAGTTCGCATTGTCTGCCCTAGACAGGTTAAAGGTTGCCACACTAATTGTAAGTGGATACTGTTGGGATATCACATAGGGGAAATTCATCAAATTATTCACTAATTTAATTTTCTAAAAGGTTAAATGATGATTTTTCGGAATAAACTGACAATAGATACCTAATTATTTAAATATATCAGATCTAGAGTTATTAAAATACAGTAAATATATTTAAGGTTATAAACATATCTATGAAATATTTATATATTTCATTCTTCGTTAACACAAATACAATGAAATAGTTTTTAAACAATGTCATTGTCTTGATTCTGTGGATTTTAAATACTTTTTTCAAACATAAAAAATGTTTTAGAAGTTTACATTTAGTTAGTAAATTTCCTTGAAAACATGTGATTTCTGTTAAATATTAGTTTTCAATATTTAACTATGGCTCTAAATGTGACACACAAGCGTAGAAAACCATTTGCACAAGCTCGGCAGTTTCCAGGCTTAATGCTTGGGTCTCTCACTCTCTAACCGAAGTCAACTTGGCAACATGCATTTCTGTTTGTGATTCACTAAGGAAACGGCAACAAAAAGATCCCTTTTTGAAAAGGTTGGTAACAGGAGATGAAAAATGGATATTTTACGATAATGTAGTCCATAGAAAATCTTGCGGACCTAGTAGTGAGGGTCCTAGAAGAATGTCAAAACCCGGATTGCATCTAAAGATGATAATGCTTTCCATATGGTAGGATTTCAAGGACGTTATTTTCTATGACCTCTTGCCATCAGGACAAACACAATTGATTCAACTCTATACTGTGCACAATTAACAAAATTGGATAAATCAATTAAAAATAAACTCCCAGAGCTGGCAAATCGGAAGGGTTTTGTGTACCACCAAGACAACACAAGCCCCCACAATTCATTTGTCACTTACAATAAATTATTATGACCTTTTGCCCCACCCACCCTATTCACCAGACCTAGCTCCAACTGAATACCACTTATTCAGGTCTCTGCAGAACTCCATGAATGGAAAGAAATTCCAAAAGGAAGAGGACATCAAAAACCACTTGGATCAGTTTTTTAACAATAAACTCCAAACATTCTATGAACATGACTTTATGCAGTTAGTGGAAAGATGGGAAAAAGTTATATTAAATAATAGTCAATATATAGTAGATTAAAATAAATTGTATGTCTACCCAATGGTATAATAAAAGGCATCTGGCTACAGATGCAAAGAACGCATACAGCGTGCATAGCCTTCTTACCTTAAAATGCCCTTGGGCAATAAAAGGAAATTGAAAATATATGTATATATACATTTATATATATATATCGTATTTTGTAATCAAGAAATTCCTGGGGGTAGGAAAAAAAAAAAAAAATTGTAGTCTATAATGCATTGAGTTTTATTTCACCCTGAAAAATCGAAAGGACTTATTTGCCAACCCAATAGTTTATAGTATTTATTCTACTGTACCTCTGACCAACTCCTCATATCCTAATCACGGTCAACCATCTCTCTACACCACAAATATTATTAATGGAATGAACTCTGAAATAATTATCATACCATAACTCATTTCACTAACGACATTAAGTTAAAAGAATTTTTTTTTATTCTTAGTTTCTTTGAATGTTTACTGTTAATTACTTAAATCATTCTCAGTCATATCAATTCAAATTTCTAGAATTAAAAAATATGTATACTAGATAGTAAAAATATTTTTTTTCTCTATCTATAATTTTTATTGGAAGAAAAATAATACAATCTGCCACAATCAAGGAAATTTGGCATTATGGTTTCATGTTTGCTTTCATATCAAACACACACAACTAAAACAAGAATTAAAAACAATAAAATAATTAAATAGTATTGATAAAAAGAAAAGAAAAAACACTAAAGCAACAATTAAAAGAAAATATATGACAAGAAAAAGATAAATTAAGAAAATTATAAATACTTGTCACACTTTCAGACCTATATAGAATATTTACATCCAGCTTAGGGAACCCTGAACCATACTTTTCTGCTCTTAAGTCAAAGACAAAGCAGAGCTCAATGAGATAGCTGCGCTTTGATAAAGAGCCGTGTCGAAAATTTGAAGAGAACTTTAACACAACCTCAACATTTAATTAGTACTAGTTTGCCAATCGTCATTTTAATATTTTATTTTAAAAAATATCAAAGGAACTTATAAAACGAAGATCATTATTATAAACTACACTTAGGAGCAGCAGTTTCCATCATATTTGCTTGAGGAAATAATCGTGGATTTTGAATTTACATTTCTGATGAGACGTGACCTCCCGAATTCGGCAATATTTTTTTTACATCTGCAGGTTGAACAGTATTATGTTCTGTTGAAAAAAAATCATTTTTAAATGTCTCAGCTATGAGCTGGCAGATTATTGTTGCTGAGGATGAACATTATAACAGCATATGACTGAAATTGTTCTTCACAATAAATCACAAAATTTCAACTCGGCTCTCGGAATACTATCTTTGGCTACTGTTTAGCAGTTTACTACATGTAAATGCAACTCAGCAGCTTCTTTGTTGCTTTTTATCAATTCAACTGGTTTTGGCCCTCCATGTGATCTCTGCCAGCTACTGCATCATTCATTGTTGTCACAAGGAGACTTTCTGATAGGATATTTGAGCTAGTTTTCATATCATGAGATATTGATTGACCAGTTTTTAGGTTCTTTATTGGTTCTCTTCATGTGTTAGTACTCCCACCCAGATCGGTTGATTATCGTAATAAGATGGAATATTATTAGCTCTATTAAATTAATGGTATAATAGAATAAATATAATTAGAAACAAAATAGTTAATTTTTTTATTGCCAAACATTTTTGTACTACCTTGAGAAACTAAACCAGCTTAGATGAGTTAGAACCTGGTCAAAATTTCAGATATTTTGTTTTGCATTAGCATCATAATTTAATAGAGCCTAATCGGCTCTATTAAATATAAGTGCAAAATAACAATTTTTTTTTATGTAGAACCTGTGGGTAAAAAGAAAAAGAACAATAATATTTTCAGGTGAAGGATTGAAAACAAATATATTATTAAAACTCATAATGCCAATTCAAATTATGTATTAGGAAAATAAATAAACAGATATATTAACCAATGCATTTAGACTATAAAGGAATCAAACATTATAGTAATACCATAAATCTATAACGAATATACATAATAATGACAAGTATTAGAGCCTTATAAACATTAAAAAAGTAAATAGGCATTCTCCAAATTTTATTAAACAATAAAAGTAATGGAAATAATTATATAATAATAAAATAGTTCATCTATATTCAAACTATTACTAAATAAAATATGCCATATTCTTTTTAAGTTTTTCAAAAACAAGAATCCTTATCCAACAGACAATGCTAGAACAAAAATATCAAAAACTGAGGTCCAAATATAGGTTCAAGTTTAGTAAGATTAATTTGAGGAAAGCAGTAAGTATTAAGCGAATGAAACTAAAAATTAAAACTTAATGGCCATTAAAAATATGCATTTTATACAAAAAAATAATATTCTTTGAAACTTAAACATTTTATTGGTTATAAATATAATTTTAATAATAAAGAAATAATATGGGAAATTAGACTAACACTATATTATTACTATATATATATTTTTTTTGTATTTTTTTGTTTTACAGTTATATAAATCCAGAAAGCTTAAGAGTGGAGGTGGAAAGTTAAAATACACAATATTCTACTTCAACAAGTTTTTAAATTAAAAGAATCAATGTAAAAGCATTTAATGTAATAAAAGTTATTTTCTTAAGCAAGAGATGGAAAATCTCTTTCATCATATACTTTCGGGATGTCAATCAAAGTGCGGTTATTTGCTGTAGTACTTTGAAATGGAGAGTAAGAACCACGACCTGACTGAACAGCTGCAGCACCACGCCCAATCCCACGACCTCTTCCACTACCTACGTTTCTTGTATCCTTGAAACGAATATCGATTTCTATAATTTTCTGCCTACCAACTCTTTGTGGGTATTCGCCTAACTCATATTCATATTCTTCTCCTTCATTATCTTTTTTCTTTTCGAGTGCATACATTTTCTTCCACTGAGACAAATCTTCACCTTCTCCAGCTTTCCGAATATTATAAGTCGGTTGTTTACGTGGGGTTTTCAATGCCTTCCACTCATCTAATGTTAATTCTTTTTTCTCTTCTTCTTCCTCTTCTCCTTCCTCTATGTTAGTTGTAGTACTTGTAATGACTTCTTCCTCATTACTTGTTTCATTAGTTTCAATAGGAGGTTCTTCATCAACCTTTTCTGAATTCCATGAATCTTCAGCTGAATAAGGAGTCTTTAAATTTTCAATATCATCCCGTGGGTTTCCCCAATTATGAGCACCAGATCCATCACGTTTGTCTATGGACTTAATGCCAGTTTTGTCAGAACCAGACTGCCTATCATATTCTCTTTTTCCCCTGATATCGAAGGTGGTCCGTTGGGATCCTTTCCAACCACCTCCTCTTGCACCACCACCTCGAACAAAAACACCACGTGGTAAACCTCTTCTAGCACTTCTTCCTTTTTCTAATGATTCGCCCTCAAAGCCAGCACCTGTATTATAATCCTTTTTCTCTTTCTCTCCAAAATCATCATCATATTGGTGGTAATTTGAAGCATTGTCTGAATAATGCTTGTTGATATTCTCTACAATAGTAACATGCTTCTTAATTACCTCAGTATCCTTTTGCTTAGATTTAATAATATCCTTATCTTTGTGAGATACAACTTCACCTTTGTTTGATTCTTTTATGATTTTATTGGATTTATTTTTTGAGGAATCTTTGGCTTTAGTCACTTTCTCACAAATCTTAGATTTCTTTTTTGCTTCTGTTTCCAATTCTCGGCGCTTTAACAACTCCAACGGGTCGATTTCTTCCTCTTCAATACCATTCAAAGCAAACCTGTTCTTCACAACACCAATACTGTACTCAGTTGCTGACATCATTTAAGCCTGAAACCATAAAAAACAGAAAAAGATTATCTAAAAAGTAAACTTTAAAAAAACTAGTTTAATTGAATAAGTAAATATTAAGAAGTTTGCCAGAAGACACTAAGTAAAAATTATGCTTCTGAAGAAAAAAGGCTTATATGGGATACGTTATGGAACAGAATTTGATAAATACATAAATAGGAAGATAAACATAATCCAGATGACAGAATTAATTTCAATAATTTTAATACCTCCAATCAAATACATACATTATCTTTAATAATTGTATTTAAAAAATACTGGCCGTATCTTATGGAAGCATAGCACTGTAATCAACAAAACTTGAATACAAGAGTTCAGTTCAAAAGGATTCTGAAAAGGTTTTTAAAGGACAAGTATCTGAAACTAGGTTAACTTAGCTTTGTAATGTTGACTGATATTTGATGAAATAACATTGCTCAACATATCAAGTATGGAGACGTAAGTTAACAAGGCTATTTCCACTTGCTACATTTTCCTCTATAACATCTTAAGGTACACATTTCAGCATCAATTAACAAGACAATCTAGTTTCACCTCAGAAGATAAGACCTTCAGGATCTAGGAGTCTGATAGATCATAAATGTTGCAGCACTCAAAGAGCCTAAGCAAAAACTTTTTACTACTTTTGCATTTCTACCTGTATCAGTACTACTAGCAAATTCACGGTAGTCATTAGAAACTAAACAAAAAATAGTAGCAGAGTCTGCCAAGAAGGAGAGAAGAAGAGTGATTCCTAGCTATAGCTAACGCACAAGACTGCACAACTATACCACATCCACAAATCTTCATAATTTAGAGAATTGACAATTTAATTTATTTTTCTTAATTGAATATTAGTATTTTTTAAATTTTTTTTATATATAAAACATAATCTCAGTTAAAATACCCAAAAATGAGGTCCAGTCTCTTTGGAATTAAATATAATAACAACATTCTTTTAAATAATAATGAAATCATATGAATAACTTTGACGTTATGTTATGTTGCTGTGCAATTCAATACGTTTCAGGACATTGAATAAGTTCTCGCTGTTACCTAATAAATGACAGCACCAGTAAGTACTATCTGAATTATTATATTTGTTTATTTAGAAATATTACATTCTGTCACATCAAGGACATTTATAATAGTGTTCAGAGAAAGCACACTCACACTCTATTTACAATAAAAAAAATAATACAGAAACTAAGTACTATCTAAGTTTCATTTTCATGCAATATTATAAGAACTATTGTTGGTAACATTAACTTCAGCTTCAGCATGTTAGTTCGCCACAATATAAACTTTCTTTTTTTCATAGATCTAAAAATGTTTAGTTTTGTGCCATGTAAAAGGTATTTATGGATAATTTTATTACACTATTTAATTCAAAAGAAATCTACAGTAGAAGCACATAGAATTCTTGTCGAAACTTATGGTGAGCATGGTCAGACAGAAACACATTGAGACTGGTTTCAGTGTTTCAAAAATAATGCTTTTAATCTTAGAGCTAAGTGAAGTTGGAAAATCATTAATGGTAGATGACATAACAGATTTAAAATATTTAAAAGCATTAGGAATGACCTAAAAGCAAGGACAGGGATCTTCTTAATTGGTGCTACACACCACAAGGGAGCAAGGTCGCCTGCAACAACGACCGTCAGTCTTCTCTCTGTTGCGCTGCTCCTCTCCAGTTCCACATGCCAAGAATGGACCGAGCAACCTCTTCCACACTATCAGCCAAGTGCAACTTTGGTCTTTGTCCTCACAGCCATCCTTGGCATATTGACCTGCCCACCATAGTTGACTTAACTTGATGACGGTGGAGACATCAATATCATTGTAAAGTGCCATCGGTTCTGTATTGCTTCGTTGCCTCCAGCCACCATCACAAAAGATTGCTCCGTGGATACTGTGAATTCCCCGCTCAAATATTGCAAGGGCCTCCTCTTGAGTTTTTGGGAAAGTCCAGCATTCAGCATTCAGATCCATAGGTCAGCACGGTTTTATAAGTGTTTTATACAGATGCACCTTGGTAGTCTTGGATTCCAAGATAAGTGAACTCTTTTACTTTCTCAAAAATGTGCTGACCCATACTGTCCTGCTAGTCTCCGCCAATAAGGTTCGCAAGCATGTAGTCTTTCATATTTTATCTTGGTTTCATTAATGTGAATCCTATTCTTTCGGTTTCTCTTTACAGGTCTAAAAAGGCATCCCTTATCACTCCAAAATACCTCCCAATCACATCAAAGTTGTTTGCGAATCCCAGGATCATAGCAGATTTGTTGAACACTGTTCCTCCGACTTGGATGTTGGCTCTCCGCACTACACATTCCAGGATGAAGTTAAAAAATTGACATGCCAGGAAGTTCTCTAGTCTGAGCCCATTACGAGTGTAAAATTGTCTACTTACCTCCTTCAACTCGAACACAGCACTTCACCTCCTTCATTGCCGTGGGAACCAGACGATTCAGTTCCGGTGGAATCCCTATTTCCAGCATTCTTTTATAGAACCATCTCTTGAAACACTGTCATATGATGCATTAAAATCTACAAATATATGATGGAACATTAGGTGTCAAGTTGAAAATGAGAGAAGTCGAATAAAGTTTTCTCACAAGTAAACTGCTGCTTGATTCTCGGGCGGAAAAAGAAAAGCTTTTTGCATCGCATTGTGAGAGATGAAAAATGGATACAGAACGAATGATCTAAAAGCAAGGACATTAGATGTTTTCTTGTTCTTAATTGGTGCTACACACCACGAGAAAGTCAATATATAACTCAATTCCAATATATAGATTTCATATGCTGCCAAAAAGATGGAGGAAAGTAGTGGCTAGTAGTGGGCTATAAGTTTGAGTAACATATTTTTTAGCACTTACTTTAAATTAAATAAAGCATTATTTTTTACAAAAAAATGAGAACTTATTCAAAATCCTAAGTAACGTTTTAAAGAAGCCTTTACGTTAGGAGCAAAATTTTAAATCTTTACTTCTATATCAATAAAAATAACTTGTGATATAAAAAGCACTTACCTTCAAACAATGCTGGAATGATAATTTTAAGCCAAATCCTTAATTGACATTAATAAATATGACCACAAAAATTCACTGCAAAGAGCAATATTTTAAAACTAAACCGAATATTTAAGGAAGAAATATTTATTTTCCATCAAAAGGTCTAGAAAGATTATTTTTATACACATTATCAGATCAGTGTTCCGCTTTGACATTCACAGAAGTCAAAATTGAAATGCTACACATACACATTGTAATTGATAAATATTTATAAGTGTTAATGAAAGACAAACAGGTAAAATAATAATTGAATCATTTGGTGGAACAATATTGGATTTGAATTATTCTACAATTAGTTTTTTAGTGAAATAACATTTTTTCTGGCTTACTATAAGGGAAGAAAAGAGTGGTTAAGTTCTCCAACTAACTGTTAGACAGTTTCTTAATTTTTTTCTACAATTTTAAAAATTTTAGACAGTTTCTTAATTTTTCTACAATTAGTTTTTTAGTGAAATAACATTTTTTCTGGCTTACTATAAGGGAAGTAAAGGGTGTTTAAGTTCTCCAACTAACTGTTAGACAGTTTCTTAAAGTCAGCTAGAGAACATAATCACCCTGATGAAAGGAGAGAAATCTAGTTTAGACTAGTTTGGATTATCCTAATCAAGTGATAAGATGTAGCACAATGAAAAAATGAATGGCACAAAGGTGAGGTGACTGAATATGATTATTGCTTGGACTCCATCCTCCGTCCATTCTAGTCAAGATTTGTAATGCACTGAAAATTCAATGGCAAACCTTGATGCCTCAAACACTGAATCCTCACAATACAGAAACATGCTACTGAATGGATAACCATTAATACCTCCTAAAATAAAAAAAACTGCAAAACACAATTGGAAAGAAATCTTGCAACAGAAAGAATGAAAGTATACCAAAAAGGGAATAATTAAAATGAATAAAGTGCATTCAACTTCAATGGATTAGAGAAAAATCAATTCAACTACAATACAAACAATCCCGCAGACAGCAGTCTATAACTTCTTAGTACAAAAGGAAGCATGAGGAAAATTTTAAACCACAAATGGCAACTGGATAATGCAAGCTCAATTGGCAAAGAAGTACTCATTCGTATCTCCAATTGCTTAGAATACGTATGCTGACACGAACAATTTTCAGAAAAAAATAAAATGTCTTTGAAAATAAAATAAGTTAGGAAAAATTATTTTATTTCTATGAAAGTTATTCACTAAATGGTATTGTCGAAGACAAAGAGTTTGTAAGAATAAACTCTATTATGTTGTCATCTTATAAACCCATAAAGTCATAGTAATAGTTATAGAAATTTAGATATCGTATCATACCATGCAAGACTTTCATGATTATAAAACATATTTCTTAAGTATTATAATAAAAAGAATAAGAAGCTCCCACATCAAATTCACATTTGACACATCACAAAGATCAACTTTGTGAATATTTATAACAATTTATTAAACAGTTGAACCATTGATAAAATAAATAAATACAACAAAAATAGAAAGTTCATAATAACACAATACCTCAAATAAGACAATAAATAATTATATACAAAACTATTCACAATAAGGTTTAAAAACACATATGTTATAAAACACTGAGTTAATAAATATAATCATACTTATGGAACAAAAACTGCAATAAAAAATTATGCCAGAAGAATTGTTTTCAAGTAAATTAAGTAGATGTACAATAAGAATCTAGAAATTAAGAAAATTTTTTTTTTGTTATTTGACAAGTGTATATAGTTACCAATTTTTTTTGGTTTTTGTTTAATGTCAATCCTTATAGATGGTAGGCTTGAAGAACAACTGTAATTTAAAACAGGTCAACCAGAGCGCTTGAATCGGTCTTGATTTTCAGTTTTTCCTAAAAAATAAAATAAAAATTACGATAAGAGCAATGACATTCATTAGTATTTTTTTTTAAATTAAAATACTTATTATCAATTAAAGCTATATTAGCTACGAACAAAAAACAAACAAAAAAACTAGGTGGTATCCATGGAATAAATGCTTTTCTTCTTAAGTCAAGAAATGTGGGTGAATGAATAGTAGAACCCAAGAAAATACATATATAGAACAAGTTCTACAAATGGATGACAAATTCTGCTGTCAAGAAAGATGGTAAACCAGAATATGCGAGCAAATGAGTAAGTCACTAAACAGATTACAAAAAAGTTGCAGACTTTTACCAATAAATATATCTGAAATACATTGAGTTTGTTGGTA